ATATTTTACATGAGATATTATTGTGTATTATTCCACCCATTAAAATCATTGTGTCTGTGTTTCAGGCTCAGATGGTGCACTGTATGCTGTCCCGATTGCCCGCGGGGCGGCCAGAGGCGTCAGAGATCACAGAGGCCCCTTTGTTCCAGGAGCTGGAGGTGCCCTGCAGAATCCGACAACGCACTCGAACGTACAGCGCTTCATCTGCAGGACGACCGTCGCGACAGATATCCTCATCAAACTAGAACTCCCACTCAAAGACAGACACATACTGTGCCTCATCTGCAGGATGACAAATGCAACCAGTCACCACCTCTTAGAATGCACATCATTCAGACAATTTTGTACAGATAAAGAGCAGATAAACTGAGCCCAACTAAACAACAGATCATTCCACAAACCTCTACAACTGGAACCAAAAACGTCGTAACCATAAAACAAGCTGCACGCTGTGGCGTTTGTGCCAAGGGCATTCAGTGATTTACAATAAGCCCCCATTGCATTTCTTTCAACTCATAGTTGACCAATCCCATGATTCCATGCTCCGGAAACATTTGAACACTCCCACACACACACACTTGCTGTAGGAGGAGAGTTGTTGTTTTTCCAGTGCTAACGAATGCTGATGAATGACCTGCCTTTGAATGCCGTTCACTCTGCATGTCTTAAACAGGAAGTTGTGCGACGTGTGCTTTCCTGTCCGAACGGAAAGTTGTAGGAGTTATTTTTCTCCTCTAATGTAAATAGGCTAAAATAATAAGCAGGAGAGGCTTTGTGTGTTTTAAAGGTGCTCGTTCAAGACTGAACGCACAAGTTCAGAGGCATTATAGCCACTCGCGGTTACAGTGTTAGTGGCTTAGGTGCACATTACTGGATGAACGTGAATCTGCATATGACTGAGCGGATGTGGAAATATTCAAACTGCCTTTAAGCTGGACTTTAAGATATGAATGACACGTTTGTGATGATGGTCAGTATGAGACTTAGAACTGAGACTTTAAACATCATTCTGTAAAATACTTCATGTCATTAGCACCCAGAAAAGTAGTTTACTGTATTTCGAATAATTTTAAAACACATTTTTCCTAAAAAAAAAAAAACACTGAATAAGAAGTGCTTTGACTAATCACACAATAAGAAAGGATACAGCTGGAGGAATCACTTCAACCAAATATTCAGCACACACCCTTAATTGTAACATATCAGGTAATTACTGATTGTGTGATTTTTTTCTTACCAATTTTGATCAGAGGGACTCAATTTTCTTTTGTATATGATGGAATTTTCTGTATAGTAACTGCTTTTTATGACTTTTTTTTTTAAACTTCTATGGACAATTTTCCTAAGAATTGTTGTCAAAGTTTGAGAGAATGGCGATAAGAGTGGATCTTTATGGTCTCTGGTGATGGATTTGATCTCTGTGGTCGTGTTAAAGAGCACTGGGTGCTTCTGCACCTTCAGGAGCCGCTTCTGTATGTATGTGAATACTGGTGTTTCCTGAACGGGCCTTTATGCTGCAGAACGGACATGAGATTATGACCTTTGACCCTTAATCAACAACCCTGTAATCCACGTCAGGGACCACTTATGAACCCTTCACCTTTTAACCTGTATCTGTGACCCCGACCCAGTGAAGAGAGCAACAAGTGCTGATCCTGTTCGTTTAGATCACTGTGGCAAATCCTTCCACCAGATCTTTCCCTGCCTAATGATCTTCTTCAGTCTCTTGATTTAAATCGGTTTTATTCATGTCTGGTTCATTGTTGTTAATGTAGCATTTGGTTCTGACAATTCAATTTCTCCAGTGTTTTTCAGATGTTTAGTTTTTCCCTGTGACTGTTGAAATCCCAGTTCATGTTCTTTAGCCCAGCCTTGTCTCCTGCCGTCTTTGTAAATATGTTTATTTGTTTTTATTTATGTTGAGTACAAAAATCAATCCGTTGGATTGGTTGAGGTATAAATAAGGTATATGAATGCACTTCATCCAGTGGAGTGTGTTGAAATATTGTGACTTCTTACAAGTCAGAATTTAATAAACATTCTATGATGTTTGTAAAAGTGCTTTGTCTTTTTTATGCGGTCTTAAAAAAAAAAACAATTCTAAAATGAATGCACAATATAGACATGTTATATATAGACATGCTATACATAAATAATCTTAAATTAAAAATTCTAAAAGATTTCTTGTAAATGTTGTATATAGTGTTATCATGCTTTTCCAATAATCGTTTTATAGTACCGTGAAACAAATTATTTATAAAAGTTTTGTTTCACTTTTATTTCTAATGTTTGTGATGTTTGACATGCTGAATACAAAAATCATATTACTTTTTGTGTCATTAACAGTGTTGGGCAGTAACTAGTAACTTAGTTACTATAATAATATTAATCTTTGCAGTAACTAGTAGTGTAACTAATTACTGTTGCCAGAAAGTAATAAGTAAAGTAACAATATTACTTTTGAAATGAGTACCTAGTAATGAGTAATATATTACATTCTTTGAGTAACTAGCCCAACACTGGTCATTAACTGCTCATAAAAACAAAACAAAAAATGTTGACAACAATACAAGCTAATCTGTTATTATTCATGCATAAAAATTACATGGTACATGCACAATAGTTTAACATAACCAGTTACCAAAAGTGAGCCGTCCAAAACTTCTTAAGTGTACGTTGGATGATTTTTGTCTTTTATGACTAGTCCCAGAATGTTCTGGAATGTTCCAGAAAGCACTAGAATATTACAGAATATTAAAGAATGTTGCAGAAACTTCTAGAGAGGTTCGGAGAGCCCTTGGCCGGGACTGGTGTCTGACGCTTGGCCTGACTCGAATAGGCCTTCACGGCACCGTACTACGATCTATTCTCTTCATCACAGCCCTCAGCGGACTGGTCCGTCTACCCGCGGCCACGGAGGCGAAGGAGTGCGATAAACCATGCTTGAACGGCCAGTGTAACACCGCCAGCGGCGTGTGTGTGTGCGAGCCGGGATGGGTCGGGGAGCAGTGCCAACACTGCGGCGGCCGCTTCAGGTGAGACACAGACGGCTCTTATTCCCAGCTGATGCTCGTGACATTGACACGAACGCGTCTGATACATGGAGATCTTTCAGAATTCGCTGTAACTTCTGTCATAGTTCGGGTTATGTGTGGTTATATTGACCGCGTACCATGAAGGCTCATCTTTGGGAATTATGAATATAAACGAGCTGCGCTGTCTGTCATCAGATAACGTTACTGTCGTCAGAAACTGCTCTTTAAAAGGCTGCTAATTTTGATTCGTCAGAGACCCCCGATTAAGTCTTGAACCCCTCAACGTTTTATGTAGACTATATATAAAATATTCAGTGGGGGTTCTGTGAAGTATGTATTCTTTTTACATTTAAAAGTATAAATGGGTTTCAACAGCTTTTTCAAACATTTTAGTAACCACGAAGGATACACTTTAAGGTATTGTTGTCATTAATTATCACTTTAATTTTGAAAGTATGTAACAAGAAAGGTCTCAAAAAAAGTGTTTTTTTATAGTCGTGTAATTTATATAGTTGTATGTTTGCATCCTGTGGGCGCCAAATAACAACTGGTTTGCACAAGCCGATTGGGCCCTTACATTTTTCCTCACAGAAATGTTGTATTGTTGAATATTTTGGCTGAATATCGCCGAATATTTCACACCCTTGTCATCAAACAAAGATTGCTGTTGTCTAGAGTGACTTGTTGAGTCTATTTCAGTCATATTGGTACTGTGGTAGAGTTAGTTGGTGTTTTCGTAAATCAACAGTGGCCAAAAGCTGAAAAGATCAACGTCGCTGACAAAAGAATAGTAGTATTTTATGGTTTCATTGGAGTATGAATGCTGCTCCATCATGGGATGCGACTCACTGATGGGCAAAGTCTGGCAGAGACACTGGCTACATTGGAGGCTGTGGGTCATGTGGGGTGAATCAGGCTCCGAATGGTTGAGAAGAGACTGGCAGACTGAAGCCAAATGATCATGTGGTGTCAATCATTAATCTAACACAGCCATGCTGGAGGCAGAGACCGTTCCCAACATTCTGCCTTTTCATCTCAGTTCAGGAATGTTCCTGTCCTGCTAATGACCAGGAATAAAGTCTACGGAACACGGTCTAGATTCATTAGTAGATCTGTTTTTCTATGTAGACTTCTGCGAAGCAAATGTACATTGGCCATATTGTGGCCACATCAGAGTAATATATTAATAATATTCTGTTATTTTGACACTCTCCACAGGTTCTTTCATAATCTGACTGATGTTCTTATGTGATGTTTAATCATTGATGCTGTGCAGCAGTTCTGTTATTGATTGATTGAACTAAAACAAAAAAACAACCTAAATTTCAGTAACTGAAATAAAGCTGAAATAAAATAAAATATAAATAGTAGATTAAAAACTTGAAAACATATCCAAAAATTAGAAATGTTTGCTTTAGCAACTAACTTAAATAAGTTTAAGTTGTACTACTAAATCTAATGTGAAAAAAATTAAAGCTAATAGAAATGTTTAAAAAAAAAACGAATAAAAATGATGAAAGCACATTATTAAATTGCTAAAACATCAACTAAAATTAAAATGAAAACTGAAAATATAAACCCAAAAGCTATTTCAAGATAATAATAAATACTATAGTAGTATAGAAATATTACTAAATAATACCATGATAAAACTTATGTTGGATGTGCAACTTTCGATATGGAGAGGCTTTGTAAATGAGACATGCGCCGAAATGTGTCCAAAATCGGATACTTTCCTACTAAATAGTATACAAAAAAAACAGTACACAAACAGACTAGTATGTCCGAATTCATAGTATTTGAAAAACAGTAGGCAAAAAGTACCCTGATGACCTAATACTTCTGAAGTGCACATTCGATGGACACTTTACTGTCCCATGAGGCCATAGGAAAGGATTTATAAATGGTGGTGAAACATCGCAACAGACGCTGGTAGGTCACATGACAGTAAAAACGTGGTGAATGCAGTACATCCGAATTTTATTTATGCTACCTATATTCATGCTAAATGAGAACATGGCAGCTGTGACTTAGTACATACTGAATTTTTTTCTTCCATATAATAGGAATCTATTAATAGGAATCTATAAATAGAATTCTATCCCTGTGTATGAAATCACAGAGAGAGGATGTGTATCCTGTCTGAAAGCCATGATGCTGTGTGTTGTATGCTGTGTGTGTTCCTTAATTTGCTGGTCCGTTCATAATTATCAGCAACAGGATATGCTTTAGTAAATGGCCTCTCTTTAGTGGATCATTTGCTGAAGTACAGAAGCCTGACTGTTTCCCCACACCAACCGCAAACACAAAAAACATCCATTCCTGCCCCAGAATGTCGCCACTGCATTTCTGCTGAACACCAAATGATGGTTTGTTCTGTTAAACCGCTGCGTGCAGCTTCACAGTGGCTCACGCTAAGTGCTCCATCTCTCAGCAGCTCCGTCTGCACTTAGCAAGTCTAATTCTCAGTAGACCCAGGTTTGAAATCACTTATGGCAGACAGGCATTTCTGACGTTCACTCGGCTGGCTTATATCATCATAAAGACTGAATGGAGACAACTGCCAAAAAAGCACTACAGCTCAATTATTCTTCAGTCTTTTGCCCGTTATTGAATGTGTGTGCTTTATTTGAAGAAATACATGATGTGATTTTAATTGTTAATGATTCTAATGGGACATTGTTGAATGATGATCTAATCGGCTGGGTGGAAGATTGCTGTGCTCCGTCGAGAACCATGTCTCGGTTATGTGTGTTTATCACAGCTGTCTGCTGGAGAGTGTATGTGCAGCTCCCACAGGATTGTGGGTGTGTTAATGAACTGTTTTTCAGTGTTAACAAAGCTCCTTGAGACTGTAGTCAGGGGCTTAGAAACCTCGTCACCACACAATGCAGCACGTAGCTACTACTGCCACACAAAAAGTTTTGGGAGTGTGGGAGTTTTCTTAGGTTCCATAAAAAAATGATGGGATGTTAAAGGGATAGTTCAACCATAAATGAACATTTTGTCACCATTTACTCATCCTCAGGTTGTTCCAAACCTGTATGAATGGGTTTCTTCTGATGAACAACACAAAAGAAGATATTTTGAAGAATGTGTGCAACCAAACAGTTAGCCGGTAGCTATTGACTTCAATAGTATTTTTTCCCCCATTGTGGAAGTCAGTGGCTACCGGTAACAGTTTGCCCCCCACCCCCCAAAAAAAGAATAAGTAAAAAATAAAACACGAATTGACTGATTGATCATTCAAAGTTATCAATTTTCAAAATTGTATATATATCGTAATAATATAATTATTTTGCATTATTTTGGCCACCATAATTGTGTGATGATAAATCTGATATTGTACCAGCCCTGGTTCATAACATGAAATAAAATCGTCATTTACTCAGCCTTGTCATTCCAAACCCATGGGACTTTCTTGTAAATGATGACTGAATTAGCATTTTAGAGTGAATTATCCCTAAGAGTTTCTAAAAATGTATTACATGAAAATCTGAGTTAGTTTCTGTTTTCACCATTACTTGTGAAACTAGTCCTACGCTGCACTCACTGTGCTTGTGTTTTTACTATTGACCTTTGGATCTTGACGCGAGACACGCCTGTTATTTAGTTCCCCAATTAAACGTTTACTGAGGGCTGTTAAGCTTGCTTTACATAATTGGTAAACTGTAGGTGATTTATTTTAGTCTTTTATAATAACCTGTAGGTATACTCTTTAGGTGTATGTGCGTGTGTTAACAAACGTGGTTCCATTAGTTTAATAATGTGTCTGTCATACACAGGCTAACGGGACCCTCAGGTTATCTCTCTGATGGACCAGGAAACTACAAATACAAGACCAAGTGCACGTGGCTTATTGAGGGACAGTGAGTATTGGCCTAAAAATGAAACACTCTTTCTCAGATTTGAGGTCTGATCGTTAAGCCTGAACCTGGCCTGTTAACAACACCTTGTAACCTGACATGAACTAAAACAGTAATGTTAAATTTGACATTTTGGCTTAACTCAAAATCGATTACTCTTTTATCACTCGAATAATGCTTGATTACTCTTCCATCACCCCTGTTATATATAAATATATATTATGGTAAGATTGTTGATTGTGATCCTGCCTGATATTTTCTGCAATGTTGGCCACCACTTTTTTGCTTTTTGATTTGGTTTTCTGCCACAGTAATATAATGCTATGTAAATGTTTGTCAGTATTAATATGCAATGAAGTAATTGCTATGTCATGTGATTAATTAAAGTTTTAAATGAATGTCAATCCTATATTTATTAATTATTTCCATAATACACATTTTGATTCATTGCCTATTTGAACCATTTGTCAGCTCCTGTCAGGTTTGGGTTATTTAGAAGACCTCTATATCAAATACATAGTATTTGTGTGGGTTATGGTGGTTGATGGCTGTTTTTTTGACAGGCCGAACTCAATCCTGAGGCTTCGCTTTGAGCATTTTGCCACTGAGTGCAGCTGGGATCATCTGTATGTGTATGATGGAGACTCCATCTACTCTCCTATACTTGCTGCCTTCAGGTATTCTCGTCATTTCTCTTTATTTCTGTGTGTGTGCGTGAGGTGTAAACGGGAGGAGTGAGATGTCCAGGTTAGGCCTGTCGCAATAATCAATATATCGACTTATCGCGCAATATATGTACATGACCTCAATAATTTTTGGTGACGCAATATATCGCCCATTATATTTACTTAAAAATTAATGTCACCATGTTTTGTATATTCCACTTGCACCTGTGTCTTTTGCAGCTTCTCATGGTGTAGTCATGAGGTGCTAGTTCAAATTTTAAAAATGCTTCTACAAAAAAAGTTTAATTTGCAGATATGGTCTTGTTTAGTGCCTTTGTGCATACGGACATCTGACTGCTAAGTAGTGATTGTGTTTTTCAGCAATAGTGTGCACCCTTGATTTACAGAGAAAAGAAGGTCAGGGAAAAATCTGTAGATGGAAAAATCTCCATACAAGTTCTTTGTGCATTTTTATTTTTTTCTACTCGTTACTTTGCACTTTTTGTTAGAAAATGTTTATTTACTATTTATTCAAGTTTTTTAAGGTATCTAATATTTTGATACTTAATTTCCATGATCTAAATATTCTTAAAAATTAAAAGTTTGTTGTCATTTGGAAGTGTGTAGGCCTTCTTGCATTATTATGCTATTACATTATGATTATATATTCAGTGGCATAAAAAGGTCTTTAAAATGACAGTAATATCGCTTATCGCAATTATTTGGGGGGCAATATATCGCACAACAAAAAGTTGTTATCGTGACAGGCCTAGTCCAGGTAATGACCTGTTAATCCAGGATCAGATTAGAATGCGGGAGCTTCCGGAGGGGCCGCTCTGCCTCTCAAGCTCCTTACACCACATCAGACGCTGATTTTGAACACAAGCGTCCAGTGTGAACGTTCCCTAGGAAATATAACTGAGCTCTGGTGGAAATACCCTGATATATATGTCATTCATGATTAATTGATTCTTCAACCAAAAGTATTTTATAATAAGTTTGTAGCATTTGACTGGTCATGTGATCTTAACATTGCATCCACCATTAAAATACTACCGTTCAAATGTTTGGGGTCAGTAAGTGAGGTTTTTTTTATTATTATTCATTTTATTTTATTTGATTTTTTTCAGCAAGGATCCATTAAATTGATCAAAAGTAACAGTAAAGACATCTTAATGTTATAAAAGATTTTTATTTCAAATAAATGCTGTTCTTTCAAACTTTTTAAAATGTATCTTTTTTTTTTTTTTTGAAGGAATTCTTTTCTTTTCCTGCAAGGATGCATTAAATTACATTTGAAATTGTTACTTATTATTATTTTTATTGTTATTTTAAACTGTTATTTTAAATTTCACAGTATTACTGTTTTTCTGTATTATTGATCAAATAAATGCATCCATGGAGAGCAAAAAAAAAAACTTTTAGAAACATAAAAAAAAAATGCCAACACCAAAATATTTATTTCTTTATTTTTATTTCTTGAAGTGGAGAAAATTACAGTCATCTGATTTTTTTTCTTTCTTTCAAGACTTTTAAGTCTTGTTAAAGGGTTAGTTCACCCAAAAATGAAAATTAGACTGTTTTACTTACGCTCGAAGCATCCTAGTTGTATATGACTTTCTTCTTTCAGACGAATCCAGTCGGAGTTATATTAAAAATTGTCCTGGCCCCTCCAAGCCTTTCAATGGGGGTAAGCGGGTGTTCGGTTGTCAACAGTTCAGAAGACGTATCCATATTTCAAACATAATAAACACTTTTCTCTCACTTCCGCTGACTGTCATACACTGAAGCAGTTCCGGCGGATGATGTAAGACGCACGGCGTTGCATGATTAGTGACGAATGAGGAGAGAGAACAAAACAAAATGCCGGTCACGAATTAGAAGTACAAACCGAGGATTTGCAAAGAAAAATGTCAGAGGATTTCGATATAAACCAAGAGGAGACTTGGAAACTTTGCTTCCTTTGCTCCTATAAACAAACGCGCGAGACTAGCATATCTCAGAGGCGCGCGTGCTGCGCATTAGAGGTCTACACGGAGGACCCAAGATCCGAGGACCCGGGATCCGTACGGGTTCGGGGCTATATTTTAAACCGATCGGGTCCAGTCGGGTCTGTGTCTTCCCGGCCGGGTTCGGGTCCATCTTTCAAATAATTGACGGTCCGCGTCGGTTCCGGGTAGTACATTTTTGACATTTCTCGGTTCTGCACGGGCCCGGGTCCAACTTTCAAAATAATAGATGGGTCCGGGTCGGTTCAGTGTAGCACATTTACGGGTCTCTTCGGGTTCGGGGACGAATTTTTGGACCCGTGTAGACCTCTACTGCGCATACGTGCTGTGTCATCTGCCGGAACTGCTTCAGTGTATGACAGTCAGCGGAAGTGAGAGAATAGTGTTTATTACGTTTGAAATATGGATATTTTTCTTTAAAAAAACACATGGATTCGCTACAGGGGGCCTTTATTCATCCCCCGGAGCCGTCTGTGGCACGTTTTATTAT